CATATCTGGGACGTAGTTAAATCAATATGTAAAGAATCTAACGTCAATTCAAAAGAAAAAGTCAGATAGCGGAAATCGCAATGCGGTCCCGAAGCGCGCGGACGCAAATCTAGCACCTTTAGATTGCTGGTTAATTAGTGTGAAGAAGGCTTGGTCTTTACTTCAAAAAGTTTGCTTATGTCATTCAAAAACTTTGTGTATATCCATGCTTTCTAGGTTGTGGAGTTTGACCGTCCGGAAGTACTGCTGAATAAGACTGCTTCGGAGCTTCGTGTGCTTGTCAGGCAGACAGCAGGTGCGGACGAGATATTCGTCGAGTCAGAAGGTGCTGGAAGCGAGAGCTCGCCGGAAATCATGGATAGACGAGAAATCAATGATAGCGAAAGCGTTCCGGAAATCGTCAACAAAGACATTTCGCCCGACACGGAAAGTATACCTGAGATGTTGGAGAAACAAGCGAGCGACGAAGAAGATGATAGTGTAGAGATATTGGATCGCCCAACAAATCAGTCTAGTCTGGAAGACGATGACATAGAGGTGGTGCCCAAACCAAATCCGTGAAACAATCCCGAAGAATAGTTCGCTCTAATCAAATTACTTGCTGAAAATTTAGAAGGATCGAGTGCAGTCTTAGGCTTGTTTTGGAATAGCTGCTTTTTGCCGCTGATTTCTGCCCCAGAGGGCTCTTCCTCACACTCGCGCTCTCTCATTGTCTGGTCCGTTTTTGATTGTTTGCGTATGTATCGAGTTATTGGCGTTGTTATTATTGCTTGGATATTGTATGAGCCCAACATTCCATGAACGTATATCTTAGTGGTCAAAATTACCGCTGTAATTGTTTTCAAAATAGCGACAAACAGATATCTTAGACGTGTGTCCATAAAAACCGGTACTGTTCGCAAATATGCCTCTTAGGTCAATCCAAATGACTTGATTATCCGTTGTTCTCCTGTGCTTCATGAGATTATGTATCATTTTGTTTGTTTGCTCCCAGTTTGCAATCATTGTTTCACACTTTATCTCCCACGTGTCACCTGCTTGCTCTGCTTAGATTAAAAATCTTCTGAAAGCAGGAATCACCATCTAGGTGGTAAGCATCTCCTTACGATGTATTGTTTGTGTGTTTGTGCTATTTCACCCATGCTTCTTGGCATTCAGGACTTGTAAATAATAAATGAATTTTGGTTTGAATATTTATTACCACATTGGTTTTTAAGCTGTTTAATGTTTGTACCAATAGAATCGGGCAAGGGGTGATTTTTATGTAGCTCGAGTTGCTATGAAATGTGGATCTTGAGTCCGCATATCACAGATTCAGGCTGTGTGTACACTCTCTCAGCTACTTCATTCATCAGACGAACGCATATGAGATTGTCAAAGAGATTCGTTTCAATTCCTTGCGGCGCAAGCAATTAGTTATGTGTCTACTGAAAGAGCATAGGTCAATATGCACACGTCCAAGTTACGAATTTGCCGCGACTTGCATCCCTTTACTAATATTTGCTGGGGATGAAGCACAAGAAACTAGTTGATGACATGTTTGAAAGATAGTGAGAAATGTAAAAAGTGTAAACAGCTTTGTAAGCACATGTCATACAGGGTTCTCTCAAATTTTTTACTTTGAGAGACATATTCAATGTGCAGAAACGATCTGTTCCCTATCCTGAAAATGCTTAGATATGAGATGAAGAAGAAGCTTTTGCACCGGTCCTCCCTTCTCTCTCTTCATAGTTGCACTACCGGTAAGTTGGGTCATCCTGATCTCCGACCACAACGAGCACTTCGAGTTTTTTCCGCTAACAGAATTTTGTTGAATACTAG